TCCAGTGAATAGAGGCGGGTCCTTACCGTCTGAAATTTCGAAAACGTTTTTTTGGTTGGGCCATGTTTTTGTTTATTGTAGTACGGAGTTAGACTGATGGCCTTAATCTTAGTTGTCATGTGGTTGTTCTTGTTGTTGTTGTTTGACTTGCATCCCACTGGGATTTTCGCACAGTGCGTTGGTGTACGGTGCTATTTCAGGAATATTTTGATGTTTTTTCCTGGATTTTCTGTTTGCACAGTCACATAATCACTTTAAGATGTTTTCTTGTTCATGTTTTTGTTTTTTGTTTGTTGCGGTTGCACCCAATTCAAGAGCCGAATGGCTCACAGGGCGATACCAAATAAATGAAACTATGAACTATGAAATAAAGTCTGAATCTGGACGTCGCTTGGACGAGCAACCACCACGCATGGCAGGTGACATAGGCCTGTAATTGTATCGCGTGTGGGGTACAAGCGGTGGTTGAAACGAGTTATGCCTCTCATTTAAAATGGGTTTCTATTCCTTCGGGTGTGCGCGATGTTTCCGCAGAGGGGAAACGACGGCGGTGAAGGCACTGCGCTGCTGCAGGGCCTACAGGTTGCATTCTGGCACTTGTACACAGGGCCGTGTTATCCAATAGGCCACAGTAGGCGCTGAGCCTAGGGCCTACTCACTCACCAGGGCCGTGTTATCCAATAGCCCACAGTAGGCGCTGAGCCTAGGGCCTACTCACTCACCAGGGCCGTGTTATCCAATAGGCCACAGTAGGCACTGAGCCTAGGGCCTACTCACTCACCAGGGCCGTGTTATCCAATAGGCCACAGTAGGTGCTGAACCTAGGGCCTACTCACTCACCAGGGCCGTGTTATCCAATAGGCCACAGTAGGCACAGTGCCTAGGGCCTACTCACTCACTAGGGCCGTGTTATCCAATAGGCCACAGTAGGCACTGTGCCTAGGGCCTACTCACCAACTAGGGCCGTGTTGTCCAATAGGCCACAGTAGGCACAGTGCCTAGGGCCTACTCACCAACTAGGGCCGTGTTATCCAATAGGCCACAGTAGGCACTGTGCCTAGGGCCTACTCACTCACTAGGGCCGTGTTATCCAATAGGCCACAGTAGGCACTGTGCCTAGGGCCTACTCACCAACTAGGGCCGTGTTGTCCAATAGGCCACAGTTGGCACTGAGCCTTGGGCCTACGAAAAATGTAAGGGCCTAGGAAAAAAAACTGTTGACCCATGTTTTTTTTTGTTTGTATGGAAAAAAAGTATCTTCTTGAATAAATATATTTATATCGCAAGGATAGGCACAGTGTATATATAAAGAGCTCAAGTCATGTCAATCGGGGTTTTTAATAAGGTGCGAGAAATTAACACCTGAGATGAATTTTTCGAGATTTTTTTCATTACAAAATTATCAAATAACATCTTCAAATTGTGTTTTTTTTTCGCACAATCTCATTCTCAATAGACAGTAGTGCAAGGGAAGACCTATGGACAAAGTACCGCGTGAACCAAGCAGAGTGACAGCGGCGGTCGTAGTGCCAACTGCATAAAGTTTAATCACTGAAGGCCGACGAAACACGAGTGCCTATAGGGCCCACAAGAACATTACTCCGGCCCTGCTTGGAGATTAACATCGCCACCACTGGGTACAAGCATCGACAAAAGCTACGTTGAAGGTGGTGGAGGATCTTACGCGTGCGCGTCTGTGCGCGACATCTTTGGCCAGATCATTACGTGCACTAACCCCACCAAAATAACATCCATGACGAATCGGAACACTTTATTTAAATATGAATTGGCCAATCATCCAATTGCAGGAGCTTTTCTAATAAAAGACTCGGCGGGGCTTTCCTAGACAATAATTTACATGAACATTCTATAATATAAAAACTGAGCTCATTGAGCCATGAATGCTATTAAAATTGGACAGCTGTTGCAGTGTTTGATGGTCTCGGCATGGTATTTGTGTGTGTTCTGATAGTGTTAATCTGTGTGTGCATGTGTGTGTCTGCTCCTGTGAATGTGTCCAGAATGAATGTGCGTGCCTGCGAGTGTCTGCGGGTGTGGATGCGTATCTGTATGTTTGTGGGGAGGGGTGGTGCAGCGGTTAGCACGCTGCGCTACGAATCTGTGACGATTATCTGAACTGGTCCTGGGCCTCCCCTAGGTCGACTCAGCCTCAAATTAGTACCTGGTGCAGTGTGTAAACATCACCACTGGAGAGACAAAGGTGGCCAGGCGTGGTGCTGGTCACCCAACCCCTCGTGTGCAGTGACGGCGCACACAATTTGTCTACATCTGTATGCGCGACTTGTATGTGTATTTATGTGTTAGACAAATACAAAGACCCCAGTGGAGCCTTCACAGCTTGTTGGGGCAAGTGCTGTTAGTGAGGACCTACTATGGCCAACACAACCTTCGTCGGTCTCCAGCGTCGTAGAACAGTGCGCTAACCGCAAAACTGAGTTCGATTCCCGCTCATGGCCAAATTGGGTCACATCTGAACCAGTCCTGGCCCTTCAAATAGGTAAATTTAGCATTAAATTAGTACCGGGTGTGGTGTGTAAATACACACCGGCAATGGAGAGACAAAGGTGGCCGGGCGTGGTGTTGACCACACCACCACCCGTCTCTTGGGCCAGCAGACTGTTTAGGTTATGCAGAAGGGGCCTTTGTCTTTGTGCGTGTGTATGTTACGTTCGCGTGCGCGTCTGTGCGTGATCTTTATTCTCTATTATCCCCGGCTCGATAACGAATTAAAGTACAATTTAATGTTTGGACCTGGGTGTGGGGGGAGCGCGGGTGGTGGGGGCTACCAGATCCATCACTTCGTAATTCTGTGCGTTCACCGTGGATCGCCAGCACCAGGACAGACGCCGGCCCATCGCAAACGCGCCAACACCACGCCGACCCAATTTATTTGGTGCAGATATATTTTATCATTTAATATACGAAAAAGTACATTTCCCCCGGCAGCATTTAAATCACACGCCGATGTGCTGTAACCTTGTCGGTATTATTTATTTTTTTGCGCCGCAAACTATAATTTTTTTCTCTTTTTTTGGGGATTTTTATTTTTTGAATTGCATTCCAGTTTTCGGGCAGGGCGCCGCTGCAGCCCCGGTAGACCCAGCCGCCCTGTCTCACGCAAGAGGGATGGTGGGGGGGTTGTGGTATGGGTGGCAGTGGCGGTGGTGTTCACAAATCCAATCTGCGTCTCCGTGAAAGCCCTCTCTGATCCGCGGCCTCATTTCTTCCCTGCGTTTTGCCGGCGCTAAAGCGATTTGCTTTGCGGAGTCACGAGGGTCGAACGTTCTGCTCGGGCGCCAGCCGCCGTTGTTATTCGCGAATGCCCTTCTACAAACACGCCAGGGCCATGTACTCATAACGATTTCATTTGTTTTTTCCACCTTATTTAATTAATAAATAAAAATCGCGCGGAGCCATCGCCTTTTTTTTCAGTTGTGGCATTTTCTTTTTTTGGGGGGGAGGTGAGGGCTAGGGGGCTCGGAAGCTGGAGGGATGGGTGGTTTACCTCCCCGTTGCGTATACGGACGTGCGGCCAGCTGGTACATTTGAATACTCGTCACAAACAGCTTTGGGTGGGGGGGGGGGGTGATACATTTCACACGAAAATATTTTTTTATTTTACTTACTACTGATTATGTTTCTACTTTTTCGATATTTTCTGTAAAGCGGTTTATTTTTGGTCGAATTTCGATTCGCTTATTTTTGCTCCGACTTCCATTTGCTTCATTGCTCTGCTTGGTTTTTTTCGTGATTGCATTTTGCCATTTTTTTTATTTGCTGGTCCTGGGTCACTCTTGCAAATGAGACTAGACCCCGGTCTCTCCGGTTCTGGATAAACATTGAAAAACATTTGGATCTAGAACTTGGGGACTGACATCCTGTCGTTTGAAAAGCCAGGCTTGTTGAATCGCCGTATGCAACACATCGTGCGCTCGACGGTGAAGGCTCGTGAGTAACGGTTGTCGGTGAGGAAGGATGCCACACAAGAAGTCTGTGTTCGTTACCCATGTGGTAGGCGGGCTAGTACTGCTTGTTTATCCTCCAACAGAATGAGCGGACAGAAAGGTCGTGACAATGTATTATGTTGAACTTCTTTTGCACCGTACGTAGCCAACCGTGCTAATTGGAGGTGTGGGGGCAAGGACATGTAGGTATGCTGTATAGATGTTAAATCATGGTTTGCTAAGCACGGGTTCAAAAAGACCCAAAATGCCGAGTTTCCAGCAACAAATAACACTATTGAAGGTGTAAGTGATGGCAGTTGATACGTTTGTTAAATTTAGCAAGAAGGACTTGGCCAATGAGACGATGGGAGGGAATTCCCATAAACACAGTGGATGGACAGCAGTCCATGTTTATTTTACATGGAGAAATAATGCTGAAGATCCTGGGCAGCTGGGCAGGTCTATAATCTTCCCAATTGGGGGGGGGGGGGGGGTGGGTTCCTGAAATGTCAATATTTTTAAATGAGGCCCCCCCATTAATAATAAGATTTGTGGTATTTCCTCCGGTAAATATCAACAAGTACCAATTTTCAGATTCTCAGGGTGCCCTTCCCCCCATCCACTCACCTGCTGGAGCAGCTGGTTCCCCCCTCCACCTCCGCCCCTCACCTGCTGGAGCAGCTGGTTCTCCCCACCTCCACCCCTCACCTGCTGGAGCAGCTGGTTCCCCCCCTCCACCTCCACCCCTCACCTACTGGAGCAGCTGGTCCCCCCCTCCACCTCCACCCCTCACCTGCTGGAGCAGCTGGTTCCCCCCCTCCACCTCCACCCCTCACCTGCTGGAGCAGCTGGTTCCCCCCCTCCACCCCTCACCTGCTGGAGCAGCTGGTTCCCCCCCTCCACCCCTCACCTGCTGGAGCAGCTGGTTCCCCCCCTCCACCTCCACCCCTCACCTGCTGGAGCAGCTGGTTCCCCCCCTCCACCTCCACCCCTCACCTGCTGGAGCAGCTGGTTCCCCCTACCTCCACCCCTCACCTGCTGGAGCAGCTGGTTCTCGGGGTGCCCGGGCGCTGAGTCGGGGCCGACGCGCCGGCGCAGCGTGTACTCTAGCAGCTGGCCACTCGCATTCACCACCAGCGTGTCGGGCCCCCCGTCCACCAGCGGGCAGTCGAGTCGGGGGGGCGGCGTGGGGGGGCCCGGGACGGACGCATAGCGGAGAGTCACGCCTACCAGCAGGCCTGGGGGTGGGGGGCAAATGGGGTCGGGGGGGGGGTAAAGGGGGAGGGGCAAAGCGGAATTCGATTATCCTTGGGCGGATTGTAATCCCTGTTGCGGATTGAACCGTGCTCGCGGTTTTACGCTGCGTGGCTGCTCCTCGCTCGTCGAGAGTCTGGGGCTCCGTGACCTCGGCGCCCACGTGGCCGCGGGCACGCGGGGGGCGAAGTCGACTGACCACGCGGAGAAGGGAATCGGACGACGCCTCTTCTGCTCCTTCGCCCGAGCCGTACGTCGGTCGACGGCAGATGTGCCCCAATCGCCTCGATTGTTCGTTGGGCCAATATCTCTTGTAGGGACCCTGTGTTACGCCTTCGTCCACTGCAATGTTGATGTGTTTGTCTCCGTTGTTGCTGCTGCTGTGCGCGCGCAGCACCACGGATCTCCCGAGTAAAATAGACGGGCAGCTGGCTAAACGGGACTACCATCATCTGAATAACAAATAAAAACCAAACTAAAATCTGAATAGCCTCGTTTTTACACAGAATGGGCTGCTGCTGCGTTGGCAGTGGTGCACAAGAACAGTTCACAGCAACAAAAGCTCAACACGGCCACGTGTAGATCTTAAAATTATTTTTTTAAATATGTACAATTGGGTGACGTTCCGGTCAATGGACCTTCTTCACAGCACATAACAGCATCGTCCACGTGCTACGAAGAGAGACCGGTGGCCGAAACGTCGCCAATTATTTATTTCCCATCTTCAAGGCCGCCGCATTAGAGTGTCCGGTTCGTTACACACACAGACTGTTTGCATTGTCATTGCTTTTGCTTCATCGGGACTACTACTGCTGCACCCCCCATTCCACCCCCCCTCCCATTACGCCGAATTATTATATAGGGGGGTGGGTGGTGAAATATGTGAGGCTTTTCATGTCGGCTTACGTTTAAAACAGTCCTGCATGGAAAACGAGGGTTGCCACCTGTACCGCATTTGTACGGGGTTTTTGGTGTATTTTACATTAGAGCTCGTGCTGACCGTTGCGGATTCAAACGATAAACTTAAAAAAATGTTTTAACCAGATAAGGACCAACTGAGCTGAACGTGTGTTTCCAAATGTGGAGGGGAAAACCGGAGGACCTGGAGAAAAATCCACACGACCACAGGGAAAGAGAGAGAGGGGCATGCAGACTCCAAATTTACAGCGGGCGTCAGGGTCGGGATCGAAAGCCCACGACCTCCGTGGTTAGGTCTGGAGTGGAAAATATGGTGACCCGAGTGGAGTTCCTTGACAATGAATCATCGTTGGATCTGGCTTCAGTGGCCCAAACACTCCCACGGCAATGGCCAAGGCGCCCGAGAAGAGCGGTGTTTGTTCTCCCAGGGAATCTCACTGTTTGCATGATTCAGCGGAATGTGTTGTGATGCTCACCGAGCCAACCTCAAGATGCCCCAATGACATGGTGGGTTTCAATAGTGTTGGGTCAGGAGTGGCGTGGAAGCGGCCGATGAGAGACGCGCGCGCACACACACACACAGAGTATTGCTCCAATAAGCACGTCGGCACAATCACGCTTGTCTCGCAAATAAACAAATACGCCTGCACGTTTGGGAAATGACTTCCTCGCCCGCGTGTGCGCACCAGACGCACGGTTGTTGGTTGTTGTGCGTGGATTCAATGGTGGTGGTGGTGGTGGAGGAAGGGAGGCGGTGGTTTTGTGTGTTTGTAATAAAGAACCGAACGAAAATGGAGAATGATGGAGACAGGAAGACAGGCGCCAGGGGATGGTGGAGAGAAAGGATCAGAGACGCTCCGGGGGTAGCACAAATGAGAGGAGCCGACGAGAGGCGACACGAGCCCACGAAATGTGAATGTCCATAGGTTCGGGTGGGGAGCGGTCGTGTAGCGGTTAGCGCGCCGTGGAGGTGTGGGGACGAGGAAGGGAAGCAGCTGCTCCAGCAGGTGAAGGCACGGACGTGGGGGTGTGGGATTCCCGCTCACGGTCAACACCACCGATGACGATTATTTGAACCGGACCTCCCCTAGGTCGACTCAGCCCTCAAATGAGTACCCGGTGCGGTGTGTAAACATCGCCACTGGGGAGACAAAGGCGGCCGGGCGTGGCGCTGGCCACCCACCCCCTCGTGTGCAGTGGCGCCACACACTTTGCCTGTTGTGCATCTGTATTTTCGCGTCTCGCTAACAGCACTTGCCCAAACAGTCTGTCGAGGCTACACGGGGGACCTTTGTCTTTGTGGTGAGGAAGTGGTGGGGAGGGGGGGGGGCATCACGAACACGTGACTCAGCGCGGGGGGAGTGGGGGGCGGGTGGTTACAAAGGGCCCCGCGTGTTGCGGGCGGACACGTCGAGAATCCGTGCCGATAAAACCCCGCGCGTGCTCCCTCGGCGCGTGAGAGCCTTAAAGAGCCGTGGGGAGGGAAGGGGGGGAGGTCAACTTCTCCACCCACCCCACCCCTCGCCACCAGCCGCCGACCCCTCGTTACCCATCGCCGCGTCGCGTGCGAATCCTCCTGCGGCACCAGATGAGCTGACGCCGCCGGATTGAGAGCAAAAAGCCCGGGGCTCTCTCGACCGGGACACCCCCCCCACACACACCACCGCTCCGCCCTCCCCGAACCGCGAACCGAATGAGCAGGCGATGCCCCCCTCTGCTGCCGTGTCGCCTGCGGGAGGATCCGTGCGTGGATGATGATTCAAGCAATGTTACTCAGGAGGGCAGGGCAGGGGGATTCTGCACCCCCCCCCCCGTCATTGGGGCGCCACGGTGGTGAGATGTTAACTACCTCGCCTGGTACGCAGGAGGGCGTGGGTTCGAAGCCGACCCTGATGCCTCCTGCTGTATATTTGGATCTTGCGTGTCTCTCTCTCTCCCCGTGGTGAGATGTTAACTACCTCGCCTGGTACGCAGGAGGTCGTGGGTTCGAAGCCGACCCTGATGCCTCCTGCTGTATATTTGGATCTTGCGTGTCTCTCTCTCCGTGGTGAGATGTTAACTACCTCGCCTGGTACGCATGAGGGCGTGGGTTCGATCCTGACTCTGACGCCTGCTGTATATTTGGGTCCTCCGGTTTTTCCCCGCACATTTAAGAACATGCGTTTAGAGTATTTGGCTGCTATACATTTCCGCGTGATAAGCCACTTCGTTGAACTATCATTTGTGATGGCCAGGTCGCTTCTGAAAAAGAGCTACGTAGCTCAGTGGGCCTTACGTGGCAAAATAAATAAAAAATAATAACAGTTTTATTAATTTATAGTTTGACGTCAGTTGGTTTGATGAACACAAAATTAATGAATGAACCAGCTAATTTTTCACCAGCCAAGAGCCAATCACACGTGCGCTTTTATTTTGATTTACGGTGTCCATTTTTTCTACGTGGTTACTCCTTGGGGTGCCCCTATTGAATGGATGGTTGTGCAACAGGACTTTTATTTTGAATGGGTGCCTTTATTAATTCATATTTTTACACTTTTAACTTTGAGAAGTGTCCGTTTCTTACTTTAAACAGTACAATATCTGTCCATTCAAGGGGGCTTTTGTTTTTATTAGGGTGTCCATATACTGAAATTCAATTCTAGAGTGTAAGGTGTCCGTCTCGTACATGTTCATGCAAGGGTGCTTTTAATTTGAACGGGGTGCCCTATTTCTTTACTGGTACCGTTTATATATTTGCAAGACTCTTGTGTTGAGCAGGCATCCTTGGGATGTCCATCTCTTAAATATGCCCACACAGCAGAGCTTCAATTTTGAAATAGTATCCCATCACTTTATACATTCAAACAAGAGGCCCTTTATATTTGGGTGGGTTTCCACATCTTGCATGCACATAATAGGGCCTTTATTGTGAAGGGGTGTATCTCGCACGCGCTGCTTCACGTTCACGCAGAGGGAATTTTGAAACAGTGGCCGTAATTTTCGTCATATTGGTTCATTTAAGTTTGCTTTTAAAGTGACGGCACTTTAACTGATTCTGGTGGAAAAAAAATCCAGGTCTCAGAATTCATCATTTCAGTTTGACTACCGCGAGACGTGTGTCTGTACCGTGTGTTGAACTTCTTTCGCGTCGTACATAGGCAATCGTGCTCATCGGATGGACGGTGCCTCTTGAATAAGCTCCCAGCACGTGGCGCGATGCGAAACGTCAGACTTCGTGCCGAGGAAACACGCGGCCCAACCTCGTAAAGGGGCCGTCAATAAATGACGTCACGCGATTTTGGACGATTTTTGACCCCACAAAAAGTCACCCCCCCCCTCAAATATGACGTCACAAAGCTCTGCCCCCCCCCCAAAAAAAAAAACAGGCTTCAAATCGCTTTAAACTATTGTCATTGTAGTGCGTATTTAATGTGGCGCTGGACTCTGATGTTGTAGGAGAAAACATTTATTTAAAAAAGTATATCTAATTAAGTAGAACGTGTTGTCTATATTTATTTAAAGTTGCGCATTTTGATGTAACGTCACATTTCTCAACCCCCCCCCCCCCTCGTCACACATCGTCACAAATGTCTGACCCCCCCCCCCCTAGGTGCGTGACGTCATTTATGGACGGCCCCAAAGACATCGGAGTGCAGCTGTGACATCTCATTCAGCGGGCTGTTCCTCTTAACAGGAGGGGTACGGCATTGCGAATAGCCACGACGTCTCATCGGAGGACACCGATAAGCAACGCTCTAAATACAATTGAGCGACGGACTGAGCAACGACAGAAGACGGTGGAACAATTCGGAGCAAAGCTGGCGAGAAAAAAGCAACGTTTAGTAAAACCCTGAACGGCTGTGGGAGTTTTACAGCGACGTCACCTTTTCTACTAGAGCAGAAGCGGCCATTGAGCGGCGTGAACAAGAACCGGTTTAGTTGATGAGAGTCGTGGAGCGGGTAATACCCCCCTCTCGCCCCCCCCCCTTTCACCCTCCTCGCACCCCCCCTCGCCCCCCACCCCCAAATCGATCATCGCCACGATGATGTTGGCCGGGTCATCGGGTTCGTAGCGGCAGCGCCGCGC